AGGAGGTGGGGGAAATGACAGGGAGGGATGATCGTTCGTTCCAAAAGAACCCATCAATTTATTACAAGGGAGAAAACGTTTAGGCAAACTGAGGACGATTTCTGCTTCTTCTGGAAAAAAACGGACAACATTCTTGAACTTTTGTCACCGTGGGCTAAAATAACAATTTCTCGAAAAGCCCTTATTTGGAAATGCTTTTTCGGAAAAATAAAAAATCTGAATAATCACAATAAGAACCAATGCATAAGTTTTTTTCTTAATTTTACTTGATATTTGGATCAGCTGTAATTCACAGCTTTATCTTTTTTCATTTGCTTTGACCAGTGCTGCTTCATCTAGTGGTCAGCCTGATGGCGATTCTGACGTTCGTTTTGTCTCCTGAAGGGATCACCGCCTCAACGGTTCTTCAGACAGAAACACTTGGCAAGGCTCAAGCACTCTCGAGATGCCCTTTCTTGGCAGGTATTTTTTTTTTGTACGGAAAAATTCTAAATAAATTTTTTTTCGGCCTACAAGATGCGCATGCGCTTCGGTTTTTGAGACCGGATTGAGGAGGAAACTTGAAAGGCAGAAAAGAATGATGGCTTAATGAGGTGCCAATCAATTAGTAATAATTTCACAAAAAAAAAAAAATTCCTTCAATGAATGTGCGACAAAATTTCAGAGAATGAGGAAATTAAACCAATATCAAACATCAAAGAACATCCGTCAAAAAAAAAATTGTTATGTAAATCCATAGCTCTGCTCATTTCGATAATTCTAAAGGATAACGCAAACTTTACAAAGAGAGATTTGAGAAAAATTTTCGAATTTTACGTTTGAAGTTAAAATGTAATTCTCCGATTAGCAGGGGAATTTGAGAAAAAAAATGACTCATTTTACCTCAAGATTCTCAACGTTGTCTAAAAGCGAGAATGCTTGAAGAAAAGGTGAAATGACGCTCAGCGTATATCACTGAATCTACAGGCGGATCCAAGAGGGAGTCCTGGAAGAAGCGGAGGGCGGGCAGGGAAGGGAGGGGGAAGTTGAGGAGTAGAGTCCTTTCCCATCCTGGAACTATGCAAAAACTAGGAAGAGAGTTGCAACACTGCTACGTAGAGTTACTTTAAGCTTTAGTTTACTTTTGTTTTAGCTTTAGATCCGCCTTTACAGTACTGGTGCCTCTGCCAGTGGACGAAGGGGAGGGGAGGTGAAAAGCCCTCCTTTATGACTGAATCTCCAAGTGGCTAAAGCTTTGCTAAAGTGCTTTCGTCGGAAGAGCCACTGAACCGATAATCGCTTCAAGAGATAAAAGTAACGTCAGAATCGCCAGCAGATTGACCATTAGGAGAAACAGCATTGGTCAAAGCAGTTATGAAACGACGAAGGAAGAAAATGACAAAAAACTCTTTTCGCTTACCCTTCCTCTTCCCTTTTTCTATGATCGTATTCGATGTCTATAAAAGGCAGGGAAGGCATTCGAGAAATACCAAAACTATTAAGAGCAATCATTTTTTAAATGCTAAGTGCGACACAGTCTTTTTAATTTTTTTTCAATTTTTTTTAAATTTTAATTTTTTTAATTTTTTTTAAATTTAAATTTAAAAATTTTTTAATTTTTAAATTTTTTTAAAATTTATTAATCAGTGACCAACTAGTAGCCTTTTCAAATGTGAAATAAATATCTAAATATCGTTCAACCCGTGCTTATACATTTAAAATAATATATTTACAATACTTTAATATTTTTTATACTAATATTGGTACCAGAGAATGTAGCTCAAGATCCAAAAGCCTAGCGCAGCTGCGCTCAACGTGTGGGAGTATCCTAGTCACCACTAACATCGAATCACTGATAATCTCTTTATCTACAGTATTTGGACGATCACTGATAATCTCACTATCTACGACTCTTCGATAAAACTGACCGTGCCCAGCCTCAGATTGATCCAATGGCTAAGTAATCTAGCCTAAACAGCCCGGAAATCAAGATGATTTTTCCCAATCAAGCAAATTTTTGACTAATTTTTTTCTTTTTTTAAAAAAACAATAACTAAAATCGATGACTTCGAGAAACTTGAAAAAGAAAAACTTACAGCGCTGACCGCTTTCAAAATTTTCGCCGGAGGC